AACGCTTTCTTGTAAAGTTGTGATATTGACGATGATATTTCAACATATATTACAATTGAAGTTTCTTCGGTGTGAATTTTTAAATGTTCTTTTAAATTTTCTTTAACTCAAATTGCTCTGAACATATTTGACACTTGAAGGGTTTTTTCCAGTGTATATTTTCGTTTCGAACATATTTCATACTAAAAGGGCTTTTTCCCAGAGTGAATTTTTAAGTGTGATTTTAAAGTGCTTTTTTCGATAAACTGTTTCGAACATATGTCACACTTAAATGGTTTTTCTCCTGTGTGAATTTTTAAGTGTCGTTTAAAATTGTAAGTCTTACTAAACGATTTTGAACATATTTCACAGTTAAACGGTTTTTCTCCGGTGTGACTGTTTAAGTGCAACTGTAAAGAGTGGCTGCTTGTAAATCGGTTGGAACATATTTCACACTTGAACGCTTTTTCCTTATTGTGAAATTTTAAATGTGATTCCAAAGAGACTTTTTGGATAAAATGTTTCGAACATATTTTACATTTAAATGGCTTTTCCACAGTATGATTTTTTAAGTGTCTTTTAAAATTGAAATTCTTAATAAACGATTTTGAACATATTTTACACTTAAACGGTTTTTCTCCTGTGTGACTTTTCAGGTGCAACTGCAAATAGTGACTGCGTGAAAACTGCTTGAAACATATTTCACACTTAAACGATTTTTCCCCAGTGTGAATCTTTAAGTGTCTATTTAAATTGGGTTTCTGACTAAATATTTTTGAACACATTTCACACTTAAACGATTTTTCTCTTGAATGAATATTCAAGTGCAACTGTAAATTGTGGCTACGTGCAAATCGGTTGGAACATATTTCACACTTAAACAGTTTTTCACCTGTGTGAATTTTTAAGTGCCTATTGAAATTGGATTTCTGACTATAAGATTTTGAACATATTTCGCACTTAAACGGTTTTTCTCCGGTGTGAATTTTTAAATGCGTCTGTAAATGGTTTTTCTGTGTAAACCGCTTGTAACATATTTCATATTTAAACGGTTTTTGACCTGTGTGACTTATTAAGTGTATATTTAAACTGTTTTTCCGTTTAAATTGTTGGGAACAAATTTTACATTTGAAGGATGTCTCTAAACAGTGTATTTTCATATGATCATTTAGTTTGGATTGTTTTATAAAAACCATTAAGCAGTATTCGCATTTCAATGGTGATTTATTTTGTCGTTTTTTTACATAATGATTAACAATAAAATGTGTTAAAAACTGCGATTTATTAAGAAAAAATTGTCCACAATAATAGCAAGTTTGATGGCATTTTTCATAGCTACACTTGGAATTTTTTCTGCTCAAAAATGGCGACAAATCTGAAAATGAGAAAGATTTAAGGTACATCTGATAAAAAAACTACACTTACAGTATTAATAACGACAATCGAAAGATAGTTTAATAAATTGCGAGTTACTACTTATTACAATGGGTTTTGTTTCATTAAAAAATAATAATTAGACGTTTATAGACCAAATAAAATATTTATTGGCCCAATAAACTTTAGCTTCAGAATGTGATCTATCTGAATGACATGCACGTCAAATTACGCACATTCTAATAGTTTTACTCAAAAAATAACATTGGTAAAATTATGCAGAAATTTCTGTACAATTTAACTATTAAAATTTTAGGACGCTGACTTGCTAAATTTTGTTTAAAATAAGCATTTTACTATTTAGTATTCAGTTAAGCCATCTAGCGGTCTTTATCAAGGTTGTTATGGACTTATTTTTTAAAGTGTACCTGTAACAAAATTGTGTAGCATTGTGCACCTACGATTGATAGATGGTGAAAGTGACAGTTGACAGCAATAGTTTAAAATACCGTTGACGCATGCAACATCTTTTTTCTTAAGTTGTATTTCGTTTCATTGGTTTAAATCAGATATTATTAGTAACCGCTAGATGGCACATGCGACCAGACCATTTTTAACTAATTTTATTCAAATAAAGAGAAGGAAAAACAAATATGATTGGTATTTTTGGCTTATAGTGTACTTTTTTGTGCAGTTTGTTAAATATGTGTAACAAAACAATGAAATTGGCGATTGGGGTGCATCTGTGCAGTTTCTCGATAAAATGTGTAGCATTCTTTACGATTGTGTAGCCTGTAACAACCCTAAATAATTCCCAGGTTTCACCCATGGTCTTTTAGTCCTTTGTTTTCTCCAGAATTTGTTCTATCAACGGTTCTTTAGATTCCCCCAAAAGCCATTCGTATTAGGCCACTCGGTACATTACTGTGATTACATTTTATTACATTTCTGAGAATACTCACTCTTGTTTGTTAAATACACTAACAAAAACCCATTATTATAAATATTGCAATAAAGTTGCACTAGTACCCGCCACTGGGTCGAGTATTTAAAGGAAAATTGACACCAACTACAGGCGAAGGTGGAACAGAAGCAGGAAGGGGAGACAATCGGCCTTCGATGTTTGTGAGGTATCGATTTAACTAATCTGACAGTTATATTTTAATGTTTATTCATTATTTTTGGTTAATTAATATTTTGATGTAAACCGACGTACTACATACGTGCGAGCTTTGTAGTTTTACCTGAATAAATAATAAGAGCAAGTGGCTGGTGCCAAGTTATTTATTTAAAAATTTTATGTTTTTTCAAGTGTCTTTCCATATTGAATTTAAAATTAAACCGGTGCGAACATATTTCACACTTAAACGGCTTTTCTTTAGAGTGAGTAATTAAGTGCCTTTTTAAAGATTTTTTAAGCCCAAACTGTTTTGAACATAATTCACAATTAAACGGTTTTTCTCCGAAGTGAATTTTTAAGTGATCGTTTAATGAGGATTTCTGGGTAAATTGATTCGAACATATTTCACATTTAAAAGATTTTTCACCAGTGTGAATTTTTAAGTGGCGTTTTAAACTGGAGTTTTCACTAAACGATTTTAAACAAATTTCACAAATAATCGGTTTTTCTTCTCTAGTGTGAATTTTCAAGTGCGACTGTAAATGGGTGTTGCGCGTAAATCGGTTGGAACATATTTCACACTTGAACGGTTTTTCGTTAGTGTGAGTTTTTAGGTGCCTCTTAAAAGAGTATTTCTCAAAAAACGATTTTGAACATATTTCGCACTTAAACGGTTTTTCTCCGGTGTGAATTTTTAAGTGCAACTGTAACTGGTAATTGCGTGTAAACTGTTTGGAACATATTTCACACTTAAATGGTTTTTCTCCAGTGTGAATTTTAAAGTGCGACTGTAAATCGTATTTGCGTGAAAACTGATTTGAACATATTTCACACTGAAACGGTTTTTCTCCAGTGTGAATTTTCAAGTGCATCCGTAAATCGTAATTGCGTGAAAACTGGTTGGAACATATTTCACACTTAAAAGGTTTTTTTCTGGTGTGAATTTTCAAGTGCATCCGTAAATCGTATTTGCGTGAAAACTGCTTTGAACATATTTCACACTGAAACGGTTTTTCTCCAGTGTGAATTTTCAAGTGCATCCGTAAATCGTAATTGTGTGAAAACTGTTTTGAACATATTTCACACTTGAACGGTTTATGATCTGAGTGACTTAATAAGTGTCTATTTAAACTCTTTTTCCACATAAATATTTTTAAACAAATTTTACATTTGAAAGGTGTCTTCAAAAAGTGTTCTTTTATAGGATTACTTAGTTTAGACTGTTTTATAAAAACATCAAAGGAGTATTTATATTTCAATGGTGATTTGATTTGTAGTTTTTTCACGTAATGATAAACAATAAAATGTGTTAAAAAATGAAACTTATTAAGAAAATATCGTCCACAATAGTAGCAAGCTGGATAGTATTTTTCAGAACTATACTTGGAATTTTTTCTGGTTAAAAATGTCGACAAATCTGAAAATGAGAAAGATCTTACATTTACAACAGATAAAACATGTAAAAATAAAAAAATACACTTACAGTATTAATAACGACAATTTAAAGATAGTTAAATTTATCAATTGGGAGTTACTACTTATTACAATTTATCTTATATATTGAGCATTGAACAATAGGTTTTACGATTCACTAAATAATAATTAGACGTTTAAAGACAAAATAAAATATTTAAAACATAAACAGTTGGTTGCAACAATTTTCATTAAAATTTACGAGGTTTGATAAATTTTATGTGATATGCCTGAATGAGATAAACGTCAAATTACTCACATTTTAAAAGAGTTTTAATCCCTACCGCATCTTATATAACACGATAGAATTAAATAACGTGGGCAAAATTATGTAGATATTTCTGTACAATTTAACTATTATAATATTAGGACCTTAATAAATGTATAAAATAAGCATATTACTATTTGGTATTCAGTTACGCCATCTAGCGGTCTTTCGACGATTCTCTAAATAATTGCAAGGTTTCATTCGTGGTCATTTTAGTCATTTAATTGTTTTCCCCAGTATAGTACTATCAACAATTTTTTAGATTCAGACAAAAGCCATTGTTATTAGATCCCCGATACTTCACTGGGCGGCATGAAACTCGTCACTTCGTAATCTTTTAATCCTAATACATTTTAAATTATACTTTTATAACTACAAAAGTTGTTGTAGGTACCTAAGCCCGGATTAACTATTAAATGATACCTTTTTAATTACTTACCTAAATATCAAAACCACTACAGCAGAGCCAAAAATATTGATAAGCTATATCTGAACTGCGAAATGACTGTTACTGGACTGTATACAGATTTCTATGTGTCCTGGTGAAAAATATTCTGTACTCAATACAACATAGGATTCGAACTACCAAAATCGGATACCTGCAGTGAGACACCGGCATTAAAATAAAGGCGGCAAAGGAAGCTAATAATAAAGAGCTAGAAAAAGAGTTAACTACATTTTTAAACCTGCACCAGGCTAGAGCTGACGCAATGCAAAAATTGCTTAAAACTGAAATAGAGACACCTGCTAAAAAAATTATTAATCTCTTTTGATTTGCAACAAAGTATGCCCCTTCCAAAACTAACAATTGGTTCTGCATGTTACTGCCGAAAGATATGGCTTTATAACCTAGGAATTCACGATCGCACAAACAAGCAAGGATTCATGTATTTGTGGACTGAAGATCCGGCTAAGCGCGGAGCTGATGAAGTTACTTCTGTTCTAATTAAATTTTTAGAAACTAAATTAGATTATGATGAACATGTTATTTTCACTGATAACTGCCCGGGTCAGAATAAGAACTGGCAGATGATGGCATTTTGGTTGCAGTTAGTAAAAGAAAAAAAGGTTTTAAAAAACAACACATCACTTTCTTGTTAGCGGTCATTCCGTTATGCTGTCAGACAGAGATTTTGCTCTGATCGAATAACGCCAGACAGCGGACTCCAGTTATTTATTCACCACAAGGTTGGCTAGATATTGAAAAAGCAAATAAAAAAAAAACCCTTTTGTTACAAAAATTACCCAACAAGATTTTTCTTTTGAGCCTTTACTAGCTAATATCAACAAAAAAGCACGTTTTCCTGACAAGCAGAATTTAGAATTTGCAGGAACGTACCTACAGTTTCCTTTTTAAGTCAGAAAATGTTGGGTAATTTTTCGTTAAAAGTACAGTCAATGGCGAGTACAGGGAAATTAATGTTTTAAAACAAGGTAGACAATGATAAGCTTATCAGATATTAAACTTAAATACAACGAGCCAATAAAAATTGCAGAAAAAAAATTAAAAATATACAGAAATTATTGCCTTATATACCGTCAGCCTACAATGCATTTTATACGTAACTAAATGTTGCTGTTAACGATTTAGACGAAGAGGTTGAAATCTTAGTTTAGTTTAAGCAAAAACATGTTAAGCCACTTTTTTCAAAATAAACTCCATTTTTTTGTAAAAAACATGTTTGTTTTTTTTAATATTAGTTGCTTATCTTTTTCCCTTTGTCATTATATACTGACAAAATTTGAAATCATTAAATCAAAACCATTTTTTTTACAGAAGTTATGAGAACTTTAAACCGTAATATCTCAATTTTTTGATTTTGATTCTTACCATTGTATTGCTCTAAGGTCTTCAATTGTACCTGTAACAGGTAATAAATATAAGGACCCTTGTTTCGTATATCAGTTTTCATAGTAATTTCTAGTGTAAAGTTGATGGTCTATCTATTTTTTTTTTTTTTTTTTTTTTTTATTTAAAATTTATGACCTAAGTCTATCTATTCATAATTTTAAAAAAGTGTAAAAATGGCGAATAATTTTTCGGATTCAGTCATCGAGGAAAACTTCTCTTAGTTTACGAAAACTATAAATTTAAAGAGCACAACAAAAAATTAGCTTCCGGAGAAACTAAATGGAGGTGCATCAAAGATAAATGTAAAGCAAATTTTTATACATTAGGTGAGTCAAAAAGTCGAGTTATAACAAACCTGATTGTAGATCATATTTATGAACCAGAACTAACAAATGTAATGCAAAGACAAGTTTTAAGTCATTGAAGAGAAAAGTCGAAAGTGATATAACAGAAAAACCTTCCAAAATGATTAGAATGGAGCTACCTAAAAATGATGTGTCTTTAAACAATTTGACAATACGTGATCTACAATGTGCTAGAAGAAACATTTACACTGCACGTCGAAACGTGTTGCATTCTTTGCCAAAATCACTATCGAAGGTTTACAAAGCTTTGAATTAACTTCAACCAAAAACCACCAGAAATGAAGATGATTTATCCGAAAATTTAGTGATATTTAGCTGTAAAAGTAAGTTAAAATTTTTATGTGAATCAAAAAGTATTTATATGGACTGTACATTTTCTTACTGCACCAAATATTTTAAACAAATGTTTACAATACATGGTTTTTTTAATGGCCATTATATACCGTTAGTTTTTTGTTTATTAAAAGACAAAAGTGAAAAAACATGTTTTGCATATCAAAAATTAAAGAGTATTATGATTATATAAAAATAAAATTTATACTAGAAGAAATAGTAGTGGATTTTAAGATAATAATGCAGTGTTAGAAATTTATCCTAATGCTAAAATTACTGGGTGTCGATTCCACTTAACTCAAGCATGGTATAGAAAAATTCAAAATCTAGGTTTATCAAAAGAATACCAAGACAAAAATTCTAAGATTGGAAAGTGGCTGCATTATTGTTTTGGTATTTTATTTTTGGAATCAAAGGACGAAATTAAGCCAATAGATGAAAGACTTGAAAAATTTTCTGATTACCTTCATGAAAATTAAAATGACAAATAATTCGAAATTTCCACCACATATATGGGCTGATGCCTCTGCTGCATTAAATAGAACAATAAATCCTTACGAATCTGTTTATTCCCATTTTAATGCATCTATGTACCAAACGCATCCTTCATTATTTATTTTTGTAGAAGCACTTCTTAAAATACAAATATATATTAAATGCAATAGTGTTAACAAAATTTACAAATTTAAAAATATAGCCACTAAGAAACGTCATAATTTTGTTAATTCTAAAATTATTGAATATAAAAATAATAAGATAAAACAATATGTTAAAATAATATCGCACTAATATTGTTTGCAAATAATTAATTTGTTATATGTTCTTTTTATGTATATTTTAAATTAATAAATTTTGTTTTAAATATTACAGCAGAGGAAGGTATTATGTGTCGAGTTTAAACATTTTAAAATGGAATCTTTTAATCTCTGTGCCGGGCTTGACTATTTTTATTTTTTATGCCTAAGACATGTGCAGAGTTTGTATCTCCCGACTTCATTATGATCAAATTTTATTAAATTTCTGAGAACACTCATTTTTGTTCTTCAAATACACTAAAACAAAACCATTATAATAAAAATTGCACTAACGTTATTTATTTAATAATTTTATGTTTTTTTAAGTGTCTTTCTAAATTGCATTTAAAATTATTTTTTTGCGGACATAATTCACACTTGAATGTATTGATTCCATTTAAGGTGTGATTTTAAATAACCTTTACGACTAAATTTCACACTTAAACGATTTTTCGCCAGTGTGAATTTTTACATGAGTATTTAAATTGATTTTCCGGATAAACTGTTTAGGACATAATTCACACTTGATCGGTTTTTTTTTCGGTATGAATTTCTAAATGCAATTTCAATCTCATTTTGCGCGTAAATACTTTGGAACATATTTCACACTTGAATAACGGTTGTTCGTTAGTGTGACATTTTAAATGTGATGCCAAATTGGATTGATAGCTAAAGAGCTTCGAACATATATTACACCTAAACGGTTTTTCGCCAGTGTGAAGTTTGGAGTGCGTATTTAAGTTAGATTTATAGATAAACTGCTTCGAACATATTTCGCACTTGAACGGCTTTTCTCCTGTGTGAATTTTAAAATGCGCATTCAAATGGTGTTTGTGCGAAAACCGGTTCGAACACATTTCACATTTGAACGGTTTTTCTCCAGTATGAATTTTGGTGTGCCTTTTTAAAGAAGATTTACTGATAAACTGTTTCGAACAAGTTTCACACTTAAACGGTTTTTCTCCGGTGTGAATTTTCAAGTGTGACTGTAAATCGTATTTGCGTGAAAACTGCTTGGAACATATTTCACATTGAAACGGTTTTTCTCCAGTGTGAATTTTCAAGTGCATGCGTAAATCGTAATTGCGTGAAAACTGGTTGAAACATATTTCACACTTAAAAGGTTTTTCTCTGGTGTGAACTTTTAAATGCGTCTGTAGAGAGGGTTTGTGTGTAAACTGCTTGGAATTTATTTCACACTTAAACGGTTTTTGACCTGTGTGACTTATTAAGTGTTTACTTAAACTGTTTTTCAATTTAAACTGTTGGGAACAAATTTTACATTTAAAGGATGTCTCTAAACAGTGTATTTTCATATGATTATTTAGTTTAGACTGTTTTATAAAAACTTTTAAGCAGTATTTGCATTTCAATGGTAATTTGGTTTGTCGTTTTTTTACATGATGATTAACAATAAAATGTGTTAAACACTGCGACTTATTAAGAAAAAATTCTGTACAGTAGCAGCAAGCTTGATGGCATTTTTCAGAGATACACTTTTTTCTGCTCAAAAATGGAGACAAATCTGAAAATGAGAGATCTTACATTTACAACAGATAAAACATACATACACTATAGTATTAATAACGACAATTTAAAGATAGTTAAATAGTTTAATCAATTGCGAGTTACTACTTATTACAATTTATCTTATATATTAAGCATTGAACAATAGGTTTTACGTTTCACTAAATAATAATTAGACGTTTAAAGATAAAATAAAATAAAACAAACATTTGAATAAGGATAATTTCCTGACCGTAGTAGAATTTTATATAAATAAAAATTTTCCTTCGTTTTATCGGTCAAATGCTTTTATTTTTATTGTTTAGCACATTACATGTTTTGGAAAGTACAAATTTTTTCATCTTCAAGTGCAGTCAATTTATAAAATTATAGGGACGAATACAGTTTAAATTTTTTTTTAAATAAAAGAACGCCATCTTTCTAGTTTACATCGTATATTATTTCGAATATACCTTCAAACGATGTGAACTAGAAAGATGGCGTTCTTTTATTTTAAAAAATTTTAAACTGTTTGTATTCGTCCCTATAATTTTATAAATTGACTGCACCTGAAGATGGAAAATTTTGTGCTTTCCGAAACATATGTAGTGTGCTAAACAATAAAAATAAAAACATTTGACCCATAAAACCAAGGACATTTTTTATTTATATAAACATTTAGTTGCAACAAATTCCATTAAAATTTACGGGGCCCGATTAATTTTATCAGATCTTCAGAATGTGATATATCTGAATGAGATGAACGTCAAATTACACACATTCTAAAAGAGTTTTAATCCCTGCCGCATCTTATATAACGAGATAGAATTAAATAACATGGGCAAAATTATGCAGACATTTCTGTACAATTTAACTATTATAATTTTAGGACCTTAATAAATGTATAAAATAAGCATATTACTATTTGGTATTCAGTTACGAAATCTAGCGGTTTTTCGACGATTCTCTAAATAATTGCAAGGTTTCATTCGTGGTCAGTGTTGCCAATCGCACGATTTAAATCGATTTTTTAATTTTCTGTACGATGTTAGATCGCATCAGTGAGATCCTACGTAAAAATACGATCTTTCCTGTTTTGGTAGGTTCATCTAAATATCTGCAACAACTAAATTAATTCAAAACATAAAATAAAAATCAAAAAACTACTTGCAAAAATTAATACGCCGTTCGTAATTTCCGAACAAAATCATTTTCGTTTCGTCTATACTAGTCTAAGATACGAAGTAAGGT